AAAAATTAATTAATTAGTAATTTAATAACTTTTTTTTAATTATTTAATTAAGAATACATTAAAATAAAATTTTAAATTTATTATAATTAAGATAAGTTATTTAATTAATAGTTAATTAAATAAGCTATTAAGTTAATAATTAATTAAAATAAATTATTAAATTAATATTTAATTAAAATGATCTATAAAATTATTAATTATTTAAATTAGGAAACTTTTTTTTCAGAAATTATTAAAATCCGTCGGAAAGTCCGCCGGTAACAAATCCGTCAGAAATACGTTAGAAAATCCATCATAAAATCTGTAAAAAATATGCCAAAAATATCTCATTGTAATCTGTCAAACATTCGTCGTAAATTAGTCTGTCGGAAAGCCGCTGGAAAATCCTCCAGTAATAGACAATTTTCCTGTAGTTGGTTTGGATAACCTACTGATAGCTGATGCTCATTCTTGCTTATTATATGTGTAAATTTCATGATAGAAAGAAGGGAAAAATATAAGTTGAGTAGAGATAAAAATAATGGATTTCAGTTTATATGTATGTCTTTAGTTACCAGTAGTCGGTCTCACTGACACCCCAAAAGAAATCCTTTAGTTTGACATAGAATGAGGGCCAAGACTCAAAATGATAAAACCTATCAAAGAAATGCCAACATCAAGGGACGAGCTAAACAAATTCTTCCAAATTAGCGCCTCTTTCAACAAAGAACATCGGGACAAGTTGGGGCAAACTCTTCGTGATCATCTTGAGGTATTTGCATGAATAGTTGTAGAAATATTGGTTATCAGTGAAGAAATTCTATGCAACCTACTCAACAAATGTAAAGATGTTCGTCCTATCAAACAAAGAATATGATAACTATAGCTCAACTCGCCAAGCTCATTCATTAAGAAGCTAAAAAGCTATTAGCTACTAATTTCATCAGGGAAGTTCAGTATTTAAATTGGATTTCAATTGCGGTAATGATTCAAAATTTGAATGGCAAATAGAGAATGTGCATAGACTTCACAAATTTGAACCCACTGCCTCAAGGATGGCTAGCAACAAGCATCGACGCCCTTGTCAACTTGGTGCCTTGGCGGTGGGCCATCCTGTCATAAGTTTTTTAGATGCCTTCTTAGACTACCATGATATCAAGATGCATAATGCAGATTGAGAGAAAATATTATTCATCATAGTAGAGAAAATGTATTGCTACAAAGTTATACCCTTCGGGCTAAAAAATATTGGGGCCACTTACGATAAGAAGATGGATAAAATCTTCAAATAATATGAAAGCTAGAGTATCAAAGTATACATGGATGATCTCATAGTCAAGAGTAAATATGCTAATCAGCACATCGAGGACTTGCAAGTGACATTCCTCACTCCCAAGCAGTATAATATGATGTTGCCCTCAAAAGTATACCTTCAAAGCAGGCATGAGAAAACTCCCAAGGTTCCTCCTAACGCCCGACGAAATAAAAGTCAACCATAACAATGTACAAGCCATACTTGGCATAAAGACACCTTAAACTACTAATAAATACATAGTCGTAGTATCGACAAGAGTATTTAATTTTATAAGTTCATATTAGGCCTTCAAGATTTGTTACATTGAGCCAAGACCTTCCTATGAGAAAGGGCATCATTTGTAATCGACTACAGGCACTAGTAGAATTATTTTAACTGGGCTAGGCCCTATTAATTTTTCTCCTTTTCAGGGTTTTCATGTAAAAAAAAATTTTGTGTCACTTATGAATCTTACACCTCTCTCTCTTATATGTCTATATGCTAGATCTTCGTACAAAGCTAGAACACTAAACCCTATGTTGTGTTTAACCTAGCTTTGAGCCATCCCAAAACTCATCCAAATTTTATGAGAAATCTTAATTAACTTGCAATCACTCTACCATCATTGTAACCCATGTAAAAAGAGTAAGATGTCAACAACGAACTATAAGTTTGGATGCAGTTTTAGCATACTTGTCTGGTAATAGTTAACATTATTTTAAGCTAGTAATGGAGCCATGCTAGAATATACAATAAAATATGAAATAGGATTCAACGTAAAAGTTAAAATATTTAAAATAAAACATAACTCTATTGCAACCAAAGCTAGTTTAAACTAATAAATTTGAGATATAGCTAGTATTGTGTATAAATGTTTATCCCTCTTTGAGTATTTGGAGGGTTATAGACATGATTATATTTTAAAAGTGATTAAGACTTTTGTTGCATCTTGGAATATTCACGGTAATAGAGAAATATAAAATTTTAGCATCCTAGCTTTGTTTGAAGATCCAACACACATACAGATGAAATATAAGGGTGTAGTGTTCATAAGAGACATCAAAATTATTATGTGAAAACCTTTACAAAGGAGGAAAAACCATGGGCATTTTCGAGTTGAAATGAATCCACTAATGTTTGCAATTGATTACACATGAGGCCCTTATGGGGGGAGGCCTTATTTTGATGTAGCAAATATATATCATATATAGTGCATTACATGGTGGGAGTTGGAAAAATTTGTATTGGCATGTACATTTGGTCGATATGACTATGTTCAACGAGTGATGTAGGATGGAAGGATCGTAGTTACGTGATGGTGATTGAAAGGATCATAATCGAGTGATGGTGGTTGGAAGGATCATAGTCAGCAGACAACAAAGGTGCGAAAGATTATAATCGAATGATGGTGGTCTGAAGGACTATAGTCAGTAAATGATATAGGTTGAAAAGACCATAATTGGATGATGATGGTCGGAGTGACAATAGTCAATGGGTAATGGAGGTCCAAAAGATCTTAATGGAGTGATGGTGGTCGGAAGGATCATATTCGATGGAAAATAGAGGTTAGAAAGACCGTAGTCAAATAACGATGGTCAGAAGGATCATTTCTAAGCAATAAAGGTCAAAAAGATTGCAACTGACCAATAATAGGGATAAAAAAGATCATAATTAATATAAGGTGGTCAGAAGGACCAAAGTAAGGCAATGAAAGTTGGAAGGGTCGTAATCTAGAGATGGTAGTCATAGTGACCACAGTCGACAGGAGACAATGGTCAAAAAGATCATAGTCGGGTGACAATAGTTGGAAAGACCGTAGTCGATGAGCGATGAAGGTCGGAAAGGCTATAGTTAAGTAATTATGATTAGAAGGACCTTAGTTAGGCGACGAAGGTTAAAAAGATAGTAGTTGACGATGTATGTCAGAAATACCATAGTCAGGTGATGGTGGTTAGAAGGACCATAGTTAGGCGACGTAGGTCGAAAAGACTATAGTCTGAAGATGGTTCTCATACCCCAACCCAACCATGATAGCTCCAATCGTGTTGAGCTATGATAAACAAATCTCAAAATCTAGTTTAAAATATTTCATATTCTCTTCATATTTCATTTTAAATAAAACTACAAACTACATAGTTACTAACACACATAAATATCGAAAATAAACTCATTCACAATATTTCTTTCATTTCATCAAAATATATCTACACTGCAATATATGGCTACATGTAAAAGCTATAGAACTGAATAATAAACTAGCTATGACTATACAAAAAAAAAAAGAGAAATACATATAATTATATCTGATCTAGAACTGCTAATCAATAATCTCCTTCCCATTTCTAAATCCTAAAAACTAGAAGCAAAATCATGGTGAGCTATAACAGCTTAGCAGACCACACAATTCAATCTAAATTTCTAAATTCTTTTATTAAATTTTGCTGAATATTTAAAAGCAGTTAAATGCAATTTAATAAATCATTATACTGAGAAATGTAATAAGAGCATAACACTTTCTAATTATTTAAATAACCATATTAAATAGATAAATAAATTATAATTCATATCTTAAAAAAATTCATATCACATTTTCTGGACCCAAACATAATTTCAAAGGATTTTGACCCCTTATGACTCCCTTTTTGTGCTTATAGCACCAAAACATGCCCGTAGGAACCAGAATATAACTTATAGCCACCAGAGCGTACCTTATAAGTACCAAAATATTCCCGTACACAAATTATATCTTAAAAGATTTTGGCCCCTTATGACTCCCTACAAATATAATTTAATCATATATATACATATATCATCATATTATAGTAATTAAAGAGTAATTGAGCATATATCAAAATTGCAAATTTTTCTATAATGGTAGGCAAGAGAAAATCATGATAGGAAAAGATGCTCAACTTTTTAAAATTATCATGGATTGTGCAAAATAATATTTTAAGACTTTTATGTACCATATCACTATTTTTTAATATCTAGATAGTTTTATACGCAACAAAATCCCACAACTTTTAAAACCTCTATTGTAAAATTTTTTAAAAAATATTTAAAATGTGTATAATTGTAATCTTTATAATATATAAAAAGTTACACGATAAAATTTTTACCAATGCAAAATTATTTGCATTTTTTGCTAATGAAAGCAGATATTTGATCGAAAAATCAGACAAATACTTTGTATTTTTTCAAAATTGAGATAGACATAATATGACCTGCCTCAATTCAGAAAATATTTTGAATTGAGATGACGATGGAAAAAGGATAAAAAACAGCTAAAAATCATCTTTCTTTCTCCCCAAATCCTCTTATTGCTGCTTTTTCCAATCGGGTTATAACAGACCAATCCAGATGCTGAACATGTTGGTGTCATAATGGTGGTTAGAGACCGCAGTCGGCGGGTAACAGTAGTCAAAAGAATTGTAGTCTTGTGATGGTCGGTTGCCGGTAGAAAAAAGCCGGTGACAATTAGTGGTTGGACGTAAGCTCGATGAAAGTTGGTGGTACAGCGAATGTCCGATAAAAGTTCGATGAAGGTTAGTGGTCGAGTAGTGGTCGAGAAGGAATTTGATGGCAAGAAATATATCATATTTTTCTTTCTTCTTCCTCTTATCCTCCATCTCTTTGTTTACTCGATCCCCCCTTCAGTAAAGAATGAGGGGGTTTATTTATAATTTTTTTGAGAATGACATGACTAGTAAATAAAGAAAAAATTAAGAGCATGTTGGGAGTGTTTCGAATGGACGATTAATGTCTACTCTCTTGATCATGAACCATTTATGGAGTATTTAAGTGTTTTAATGATATTAGAATTTGACAATTTTGGGCTTGTTGTATCCGTCTCATTGAGTTGCTCGATTCGACTATAAACATGTCACATTTCGAAATCATCTAGCCATCCATTTTATATATTTGAACCTTCCGAACATGCTTTGGGTCCTTGATGTGGACCCACTTGGGCTCGTATTGGGTCGACTTAGGTTTCGTTGGGTCCATCTTTTCGAAACATTCAGTTCAACTATAAGTTTGTTGAAATCATAGTTCAGATAGACCCGAATTTAATTCAAAAATTTCCAATATGATTTTGCCGCTAGTTTTGTGCTAGATAATTTTTTGATTATATATCAATTTCATTTGAGTCAACTTTTTTATTTTTTTTAAAGTAAAATTTTTAAATTTTTTTACTTAAAAAAATTATTTTATAATTCAATAAAAAATAAGTGCCAAACAAAATCTAAATCTACAAGGTTGGGAGAAATATCCTTGAAAATTCTTCATTGATAGTAATGAGACTCAATCTTCAAGACTAACAAAGTGTTACTAAATACTAATAGAATGATATATTTCAGAATGATCACGAGGAGCTTACAAAGCCGCAGCAACTCATCAATCTATTATTTTATTATTTTTCCTCTTCTCTATATCTTAGACTTTGAATTCGATAAAAACAGCAGTTTTACCCTATCTTCATCAGTCTCGGGCGGAAATCCTAACGCAGAACAAATCTCCGGCAACGACCCCTTCCGAATCGAGCAGTAAATCTCACCGATCCAATTCCTCGCCGCGAGCTCCTCCGCCCGCCGCACAGCCGCCTCCAGCGCCTCCTTCGCGCTGCCGTGAGCCCGATCGATAATCCCCTTCGCCACCGCTTCCGTCGCGCCGATCTTCTTCCCCTCGAGCACGATCTCGCGGAAAACTTTTCGATAGGGAATCTTGGATCTCAACAACGCCATAGTATACGGAGCAAAAGGAATACCGACATCAATCTCGCTCATGTAAATGAAACCTCTGTCTGCTCTCATCTCCACATAGTCGTGGCATATCGCGAGCATGAAGCCGGCGGCGGCGGCGTGGCCGGTGACGGCGGCGATGGTCGGCATCGGAAGGGAGAGGAGATCAGCGACGAGGGGGCGGAAGAGGTGGCCCATGGATTGACATATATTATTGACAAGATTAACCTAATAAAGCTTAAATTATTTAATTCTTACATCATTAAGATACTTAAATACTCAATGAATATTTGATAAAGTGTTTAAGACTTTGGCATATATATATATATATATATATATTTTTTGGATATGCCGACATTAGATCCCAAGTCCTGGATGAGAAAAATGAAGGATTGCGTCAGGTAGTCGACAGCCAGTATACAATTTCTCGAATAATTATATTTATTGATTTAGAGAAAACATATGATAAAACTTCAAGAGAAGTGTGATGGAGATTTCTAGAAAAGAAAGAGGTTAATAATGCTTATATTCAAGTCATTAAGAACAAATATGCAAGAGCTGTTACTTGTGTTCAAACACAATGTGGTTTGACCAAGTATTTTCCTATTTTAGTTGGATTACATCAATGATTAGCCTTAGTGCTGGTTTAGGATGGCGTCACTGCTGCTTTACTATTTAAAAAGCAGTTAAGCATTTGTTTGGCTTGATCGCGACAGAGCCGGTTACGAAAATTTCTGCTGCCGCTCGCTGCTTCTCGCGACCGAACCTTAGCTCCCGCGGTACGCTGCTTTCCGCGGTTTCGAAGAACAAAAATGACGTAACTGCCCAGTTCGTGCGGAAGTTGTCGATCATTTCCGACCTCCTGTCTTTCGGTCATCTACCATTTCTCCAAGAGTTATTTTCGATTACTTCCAACTCTTCTTCCGTCCTCCTCTCAGGACCACACTTCAAACCAGCACTGCCCGCCTCCCCTATTCGAAAATCCCCATTCCTTTTTTTTTGTCTCACGCCATCACCGACACAGGCTCTACAATCTGAAGTGCGACAACTACCTTCCCTCTTGACGGATCTGAAGTCACACCTTCCGCCTTTCATCTGCTTAATCGGAACTAAAGGCTGCAATAGGAGTTCAGACTACAGAGAGTTGAAGGTAAACGTGAATTATAAAGGTTAACCTTAGAGTCTTAATATTTTTCGTTGGAGTAGATTTAAAACTAAATTTATTGAATGTAATTTTAATAGTAATAGATATAGTAGGGAAATTGTGACTTTGAATGATCAAGTCATTAATATGAGTATATATTTTAGATATATTTGGCATATTGTTTAGAGGGATTGTGGAATAGATAGGGATATTATTAGTAGAATATAAGTTGAATGGATAAACTGGAGGAATGCATTGAGCTTGTTGAGTGATAGAAAACTCGCCTCCAAACTTAAGGGAAATTTCTAGAAGATGGTGATGAAACCTACAATACTTTATGGTGTAGAATGTCGGCCTTTAAAAGAGAAGCATAATATTAAGTGTTGCGGAGATGAGGACACTCAGGTAGATGAGTGACTTTATTCTTAGAGACAAAATATGAAATGAGAATATACGTGAAAAAGTTGGAGCAGCACTTGTGGAAAATAAGATTAGAAGAGCCGCCTTATATGGGTTAGTCATATAAAATGACGTCCTTTTGATGAACATGTTAGAAAAATAGATGTATTATATTTGGCTTATGTTAAAAAAGATAGAGATAGACCTAAAACGACTTGGTTAGAAACAATTACATATTAGATTTAAATGAGAACTTGACTCTTAATAGAGCACAATGAAGAACAAGGATTTATGTAGCCGACCCCATATAGTTGGATAAAGGCATTATGATGTTGTTGTGTATATATATGTGTGTGCGTGCACGTGCGTGCACGTGCGTGTGTATCAGAGAGCATTTCTCATTTAAAATGATTTGTATGGATTTAACAATTATGTTGATTATTACATATTCAAGTACAATGATTAGAAAACTTAACATTCACATTTATGTAATCTTTAAGTTGAAAGAGGCTGTATGATATAAATTGATAAAGAAATTAACAATATTAATAACAATTTTGAGTTTAAAAGAATCTGATTCTATATAAATATTGGCATGCATGAATTTTGATTTAACTAAATTGACACATGAAATTTCTGAATAAATGAACTATAATCACATATTAAATCACTTTAATTTTCCTTTTGTGAGATATTCTTCTAAAAAAAACTTTAAATAATTAACTCTAGATAAAATTAGGGGTGTTAAAACGAATCAACAGGTCAGGTTCAGACCCAACTCATAATTTACCTAATATGAATCTGATCAACTTGAATCCGACTCACTAGCAACTCAAATGACCCAAACTGAACCCGATAAACCATTTTGATTTAATTTTTTTTAAAAAAATTAACAATAAATTTAGATTAATTAAAAAAAATAAGATAATCATACAACAAATAAAAAAAAATTAATAAAAAAATTAATTTGAGCTGCTCAAAACTGGGTTGGCGGGTTAGCTCAAATCGTTTAATAAATTTCCAAAAGTTCCTACCCAAACTCGACCCATTTATTAAATGGGTCAATCCAGACCTAAATTTTTTAGGGCAGATTTTGATAGGATCATTTTTTTTGGACATTCCTAATAAAAAGTAAAAGTTATATCTCTATGAAGGTAACCTAATTTTCAAATTTGCTGTCAAACATCCACCATAATTCCTCCTAAAAATATTAAACAAATAAAGGGAAACAACACACGCAAGCTCTTTTTGTCTTTCATTTTACCTAGGAAAGAAAGCATTCGGGGCAGGGCCTCTGTTTCGAAAAATTATTACGTGCGGACGCCGCCCACGGACCCATTAGAAAAAGATGGGAAAGTAGATTACTATGCTACCCTCACACTGCTATCAATTCAGAAAAATTATTTTGTGCGGCACTCAATGGTACAGATGCGAATCAAAACACGGTACATCACCCGATATCGAGCAGTACACAGTAGCAGTACAAAGCAAAAAAATAACGTGATATATTCTCATTTACCTCTGAACGCAATTCGGTGATCGCACATAATAATTTTTCATCAATTCAATGAGCTTACATCTATTAACTCATGCCCCTAATTGCGGGCCACCTTCTAACAAGTGGAGATCGTTCAAAAGATGATGCAGCCGGCTTCTAGTCCTAGTCATTTAATATTCAACCGTTTGATCTTCATTTACTCCATTTGGACGGCTGGAAAATTTTTGAAATCAAATAGGTTGAATTTGAATTGAGCTCAGATTCTCTCTCTCTCTCTCTCTCTTTGACATTTAGGCACTAACACACACATACACATTGTATACGCAAAATTCAAACTTAAGATATATTAGTTGGTAGCCAAAGCTTCCAACTAACAGATCAAAGTGAGTTCAGATTCAATTAGAGAAATGTTTGTAATCTTAGAGCAGGATTTTTTTTTTTGGAACGGGGGTATCGGCCTGCTGCCACGTCATCTTGTGACATGCTTTGCGATGCCCACTAATCCCTCGGCAAGTCTACCAGCAACCAACCACACAGGTGCAGGACCCACAGTTCTTTTCTCTCCACTTAAGAAGTCGTGCATTATGAGAGGGGATTCGAACTTGGGATGGGGGGTTCCCAACCAAGCACGCCCACAAACCCACCTAAGCCCGGTGGGGTCTTAGAGCAGGATTTGAGTTGAATATGATTTAACTTAGGATTTGTTTGTGACAGCTTTTTTACTATTTTTTAAAGTAACTTTCTGGTAAAAAAAATTTTAAGTAAATTTTTTTTTATTAGAAAGCTGCTTTAAATAGCAGTAAAAAGTTGTCCCAAACAAAAGTCTTAATTTAAATAGGCTAAAAGTGAGACCATTGGAATTAATTAGTCTCAACTCGACTAAATTTAGTTAAATTTAAGTTGAATTAGTTTAAATTGAGTGGAGGCGAGTTGATTTAATTCATGTTGACCTATATTCGCATCAGTTAAATGAAGTTAAAAAGATTTGAGCGGTCAAATAATCGAATTGAGTGAGTTAATTAGGTTGATTTGGGTTGATGCGAGCCGAATGTTTAACCTGGATTGAATTAATTTAATTATTTCATGTACAAACATCTATTAGAAAAATTTTTATGAAAAAAAAGTTTAATTAGAAACTCCTAAAAAGGGGAAAAAACCACGGGGTCTGGCCCAGTTTGAATGAATCCATTAGTGTTTGCAGTTTATTACAAATGAGGCCCTTCCTTAAGAAGAAGGTATTGACTTGATGTAGCAAATATATATCTTACATAATATATTACACGGTGAGAGTTGGAAGAATCAATGTTGACATGTTTGTTTGGGGCGATAGAACCAAAGTCAACGAGTAATGTAGGTCGGAAGAAGCATAGTCGGGCAATGGAGGTTAGAAGGACAGTTGTCGGCGGGTGACAGAGGTCGGAAGGACCATAGTCGGCAGTCGATAGAGGCCAGAAAGACCATTATATGACGACAGAGCTCGGAAGGATAGTAGTCGCGGGTGAAGGAGGTAAGAATGACCATAGTCGGCGAGCGACATAGGTCAGAAGGACCGTTGTTTGGCGATGGGGGTCGGAAGGATCGTAGTCGGTGGGCTACGGAGGGTCGGTGGGCTACGGAGGTCAGAAGGACTGTAGTCAGAAGGCAACAGAGGTCGGAAAGATCGTTGTATGAGGATGGAGGTCAAAAGTATCATAGTCGACGAGCGATGGGGGTCGGAAGGACCGTTGTCGGCAGATGACGAAGGTTATAAGGATCATAGTTGGCGGGCGATGAAGGTCGGGAGGATCGTAGTCGGCTAGCAACGAAGGTTGGGAGGACCGTAGTTGGCAGGGATTGTAGTCGGCAGACGACAGAGGTCAGGATGAATGTAGTCGACAAACGACAGAGGTCGTAAGGACCATAGTCGGTGGGCAACAATGGTCGGGAGGACCGTAGTCAACGGGCGACGAAGGTCGAGAGGACCGTAGTCAGCGGACGATGTAGGTACGAAATATTATAGTCGACATGCGACAGAGGTAGGGATGACCGTAATTTGATGACAGTGTGTGGGAGGATTATAGTTGGCAGACTAGTAGAAGTCCTGCGATGTTAGATAGATTGGCGGATATCTGTCGATGCCCGGAAAGTATTCCGGCTTTAGTTAGCGAACTGGCAAAAG